TGCAGACTCCCACATGTGCAGACTCCCACATGTGCAGACCCCCACACCCTTTTATCTCTCACCACCTTCGGTCTGGCGGACCGCTCTTTTTCACCCTGACAGGAGTGTGAGCTTCCTGTGGCATATATCTGATGTAACCTCTCAGGGGCTTAAATGGATCAATAGGCCTCACTGCCCTTGGTCTCACTCACAAAGTACTGAAGATGGCTTTTAAGACCCTTAATGATCTGGTCCCACATGGCCCTTAGGCCTCACCCTAGAATGCCCACTTTGTCTTGTCTCCATATCCTGTGTCCAGGGACTCTCCCTCCCCCTTTCCCCTGCCTCCTCCTGATTCGTTCTTGAAACTCAGCTCAAGTGAAAAGGCGTGGAAAACAAGGACTTGTGTTTAATATTCTTTGTTCCCTTCTTGATTCAGTGTTACAGATCCTAAAATGACAAACATAGCACGAGCTTTCACTTTCTGCTTGAAGAAGTGAAGCTCTCAGACACAGAAACCTCTCAAAGTAAACTCAGTGCCATTAAGCTCATGCTGACTCATAGCGACTATAGAACAAGGTAGAACTGCCCCTGTGGGTTTCCGAGACTGTAACGCTCTTTACCAGAGTAAGGAAACCTCATCCTCCTTCCACATAAACTGTAGGCTCCTGGTATTACCAAGACACAGAGGAGAGGAGCAGTGTCTTGGGAGTACAGCTTTTTTAAAAAAAATCATTTTATTGGGGGCTCTTACAACTCATCACAATCCATACTTCCATCAATTGTATCACTCACATTTGTACATATGTTGCCATCATCATTTTCAAAACATTTTCTATCTACTTGAGCCCTTGGTATCAGCTCCTCGTTTTTCCCCCTCCTTCATGAATTGTTGATAATTTATAAAAATCGTTTTCCTGTCGTCTTCTACCGATCCCTGCCTCCCTTCACCCACTTTTCTGTTGTTTGTCCCCCTGGGTGGGGGGGTTATAAGCCGATCATATAACCCTTTCTGGTAGGGAGTGCCGCTTTGAGGACTTGTGGGTTTCAGAGTTCTATGCCCTTCCCCTATCTTGGGGTGGAGGCTGGGAAGTGGCCATAATGAATGGTTGGTATCATTTCTTCAGGATCGCGTCCTGCTTCCACTTTCAATTGGCACGCAGAACACTGCAAGTTTGGGAAGAGGGCACAGACAGCACAGCAGCGCTGCTTTCTCAACCCGGACCTTGAAATTTTCGCCCATTGTGTGAATACCTGCTCAACACTGCAGTTCATGGGCAAACGCCGCCCTTCTCAGCACTCCCCTCGCCGCCCCTTTAAAACTCCGTGCCCTTCAGAATGCAAGGGGCATCCTTGCCACTGCACTTCCTGTTGGCAGCAGAGAGTACACACAGAAGCTATTGCAGGCAGCAGCCAAGGCAGAAATAGCTTCCAGGCGATTCAGTGGAGCTTCCCGAACTGCAGTCCCGGCAGGCGCTGGGCCTCGGGTGTCCTGATCCCCATAGCTGCCAGGGCACCGCTGGCACCGGAATCCACTGGGCCCAAACTGTGCGGTGAGCCCAGGGCGGAGGCCACCCAAGCCGGGGCTTCATTAGGGTTCCAAGAGCGAGCCCAAGATGCGAGCTGACACTGGCCTCTGCGTGGCCCGGGGGTCCCTGGCGGCCTGGCTGCTGGGTGGCCTCTGGATCTGGACGCTCGGCGGCCTTGGCCAGCTGGGGGCGGCATGGCCTGGAGCCGGGGGCTCCCCAGGAGTGCCGCAGCCTTGTCAGGCGCCACAGCAGTGGGAGGGGCGCCAGGTGCTGTACATGCAGAGCAGCGGCCGCAACAACCGTGCGCTGGTCTCCTACGATGCGCTCAACCAGCGGGTCAGGGTGCTGGACGAGAGGAAGGCGCTCATCCCCTGCAAGAGGTACGCACGCACGCACCCACGGGGAACCCCGGTTGGGGAGGGCGGGGGTTGCAGGCAGGGGGCGCGGGGATCTGGGTCCCTTTCCAGCCCCTGCGCTACCAGTGGGTGTCCGGGTGCCTCCCAGCTCCACCCTGCTCCCAAAGAAGCTTGAGTAGTCGCATAGGGCAGCTGGGTCAGGCGCTAGGGAGGAGAACTTAGCTCACTGAGGGTGGCCAGCTGGCGGCCCTGGGTGGGACAGTGACCTCAAGGACCTCAGAAATAAAGGTGGCTTGGTAGGGCGTTCCCACTGGAGGCCCGCTGGCCGGGCATGCTGAGTCAGGCAGCTGCAGCCAGAGCCCCCTTCAGGTAGGGCGTGTCTCATCCACTATCTTGTCTCTTCCAGGACCAACTGCCAGGGAGGCACGCTGTTTTTTGGGGTTTTTTTGAGACTCTAAGTGTGTGTACATTCGCATGTTAAAATAATACAACACCCAAGGTGTGGGAAATCGATAAAGGGAAAATAGAGTACTCACAAACCCATCATCACCCTGTTACAACTGTTAACGTTTTGGTCTACTCTCTTAAAGTTTTACAAGCAAGGTTTACACACTGTGAACAAAAAGCATACGCATGGATTTCCTGTCTCTGTTTCATTGAACATGGTCCCTCACATGCTGTTATTTCCAAGTTCATGAAGCTGACCCCTTACCCATTTTTAATGACTGCATGGCTATTAGATAGATGGGGTTGTGATACTTTCTTTTTTAACTGTCTGGTCTGATAATTCATCTTTGCTGGCTTCTTATGACAGGGACACCCTCTTGTGCCTGACCTGATTAGGATCTGAATTCTATTCTGGGATCACCGCGTGTCTCTTTCACCACACTGCAGTATTTTCTGTGTATTCTGCTCAGAGTTATGTTGGTCACTCTCTTTATGGTATTTGCATCATTCTGGGATGTGATATGCATGCCCATGGTGGATGGCTCCAATGACAAGTAAATGCTGTGGTCAAAGGGCCCCATTCAAATTTCTAGAACAAAGCAAATCTTGATAATATCATTCCATCTAATAGCCTCTGTTGAAGTATTAGGCAGCTTGAAGAAAGTATGAATACAAGGAACTTTCTAAAGCATAGATTGAAGAGTGTAAGATCATGAAAGCCACCCATAGGTGCTCAGGAAGCACTAAGGAGTAGGGTCCTCTGGATGGACTCTGAATATGTGCATGGCTTCAGTTAATCCTTGAAGAGCATTGTCATAATATTAACTGTCAACACCTGAGTGCATTTTATATATAAGGCTTGGTGCTGAGGACTTTATGCACACTGTACCATTTAGTTTGCACAGCACAACAAAAACGTTTGATGTATTAATTTTGTATTAAAAATAATGTATTTTTTATAGATATTGAGTCAGTGACTGAGGAACATTGAACAGCATTCCCAGTGCATTCTCACACAGTTGGAATTTGAGGGAGCTAGGCTTATTTGACACCTGTGATACCTAACACTCATACCCACTCATGCGTTCCTGCATCTACTCATTCAAGAAGCATCTATTCAGATCAGGCTCTGTGTGTGCACAAGTGGGCCGCGGGGCTCAGGAAGGTCATAATGGAGAGGTCGTTGTTAGTTATCATCATGTTGGCTTCAACTCATGGCTATCCCATGAGCCATCAGAAAAAAATGCTCCCCAATCCTTTACCACCGACAACATTGGCTGGGGATCAGACAGCGTTTTGTTGTGATTCATAGGATTACCATTGCCTAACTGGAATTATATTCCTAAGCCTTTCCCACTAGTCTGCCTTAGTCTGGAAGCTCAGCTGAAACCTGCCCAGTCTCATAGCAACATGCAAGCCACAATACGACAAACTGAAAGACAGGTGATGGTTGCATATGAGGTGCATTGGCTGGGAATCAAACCTCAGTCTCCAGCATGGGAGGCCAGAATTCTACCGCCGAATCACCGATACACCTAATTAACCAACCTCTATACAATGGGATGAAGGGTGAGCTGGGAGGTGATGAGAGTATCTTTGTGATGGGCACTCAATCCAAGCTTCTTGGAAGGTGTGTCCCAGAGCACCTGATTGAATTGACCAGAGCAAGTGTTGAGGGAAGGATTGTCCAGGAGGTTGTGGGTGTCTCCTTGGCCTGCATGTGTGCCATCTTGGAGAGTAAAGACATTCTGAGTATGTCCTGAGAACCACAGGCCAGTCATTTTTAGGCTTTTTAAACAGTGAAATGCTGTGGCTGACCTATACATATGAAAGTCATCAAAATCCATGGTGCAGAATAGAGGAAACAAAGTGGAAGCAAAAACATGACTTAGGAGACTTGTGGAAAAACAGGTTGTAGCAATGGAAATAGTGAGAAGGGACTCATTTCAATGAGTTCTTGAGCTGGCATAGGGACCAGAACTCTCAAATCCTAGGCTATTTTCTCCCTGTAGACAGACATATGTGGGGAGCCATATTATAATCAGGAGATTGTTGAACTAGTAAAATGTTGGACAATTCAAATTCACTGAACAGACATCTAATGATTTCCCACTGGAGGCTAGACAGTATGCTCGTGTTTATCATGACTAAGATAGGTCAAATCAGGGTTTTGTCTCATGGTACTAAACTAGGATACAGTGCATGCATCTTTACATTAGAATCCCCTTTGATTACACATTGGGCTGCTTTCTGAAAGTTCTGCAGTTTGAAACCACCACCTGCTCCCCAGGAGAAAGATGGGGCTTTCTACTCCAGTAGAGAGTTACAGTCTCAAAAATTTATAAGGGCAGTTCTATCCTGTCCTATGGGGTCGCTGTGAGCTGGCATCGACTCAGTGGCAGTGAGTTTGGAGTTTGCATGCTGCACCAACTCCATTGGACAGCACTCATTCCACCCTGAACATAACCACCCTCCTTTTTCTATGACTCCGTGATTGATTAATATAGTCTATAGATATGTACATTATACTTTTGGGGGGTCATAGCTGCACCCTGCTGGCCTAGAATCTCTTTTGTCCCCTTATAGTGATTTCTCATTTCTCTGTCCTAATGAATTAAGTGTTGGTTTTACAGTTTAACTTTTAAAAGTAAATTTTATTCCTCTTCTTTCTAATGTCTTGGCGAGATTCTGACTCACAATCCCATCTCTGGCCCAAAGCCAAATGTAGAAAAGAATGGTTTGGATATAAATTCATTTTTAAGCTCTTTGAGTCATTGGATCAAATTCAAAAACTTTTTTCAGGTATTAGCAATTTGGCTCAGAAACCAGGTATTATTAGAGGAAAATGTGGATGGGTTGTCTCTTCATATTTATTAGTAAGTTGAGAACTAAGCTTTAGAATTGGATCAACTTCTTAAGATTGTAATTTTGCACCCTGATAGTTATGGAAAATCCCACTGATAGTTACTGTAGAATGACTAGGATTTTCCAGGCTCACTTTCCCCTGAGATGATGAAAATGATTTTTTAAAAAAACTTTATAAGCTTCAGATAAGACAAGTCTTAGCAGAGAATGGGAAATATTAGTAATTGATACTATTTTGTTTTCAACTGTCTTTCCTGACTCTTTGATTAAAGTCAGAAGTTCTACTTTTGGAAGACTGAAGAAAAAACAGGAAGATTAATTTCACATTTCAGTCAACATGTTGACCTTTATGGGAGAAACATTGAGAAGCGTGGCTAGTGAGACCTCATTCTGCTTACTGTGGACATGTTATCAGGAGAAATCAAGCCCTGGGAAAGGACATCATACTTAGTAAAAGGTCAGCAAATAAAGAGGAAAACCTTCAGCTAGATGGACTGACACAGTGATGGCAACAGTGGGCTCAAACACAACTACCTTTTCCTTATAGATTGGGAAAGGTGCTTCAAAAATGGAATTAAGATACTGGAATTTTCCCAGGACTTTTTTTGAAACATCCCTCATCTAAAACCTAAAATCTCCATGAGCTGGAAACCACTGGCGGACACTCACTAATAAATAACCATGTAGATGCTGCGTGAACTCGGTCTGGTCACCACTGACTGACTAATCCTGCTTACAAAACGGTAGAGAAGGTGCTGTAACTAATAAAACTGTGGTTGTAGAGTGAGCAGAGATGAAGAGAATTTGCATTTGTAAATTTGAGGTCACATCTTGTAAATCTAGCCAATCCTATGTATTTGGGAATTTTAATTTGTACACATTAAGAGGTGGAAAATATTTTAAGTAGCGGGTAGATTCTTATTTAAGTTCTAACTAATGCCCGTCACAATTTTACTATAGGATATTATATCTATACAGAATTGCATTTCTAGTGGATTGGCTGGGCCAGTTAAATTTAAGACAGAGAAGGCAATTCGGAAGGTTTGACAACTGTTTGGTTTAAATTTGTTTGTTTGTTTGTTTGATCTCAAAGGGGAATTCTTGAATTTCTGTAAGTACATAGGAAGATCGCAATGGTTTATTTTGAAGAAGTGAAAAGAAAATTGAAAACTGCATTGGTGAGAAAAAGGTCAAGGACGTGGCATTGAACGATTGGTTTCTATCACAACTCTTTTGAGGGTAGCAAGGACTTTCCTATGAGAAATCATTTTCCTTTTTCTGGTAAACTCCTTATTGTGAATTGGGTGACAGCTTACAGAGAAAGACAATTTGCCATTCAACCATTCATATACAGTTTTTGGTAATGCTATTGATTGCAATCCCCATAATGTAACATCGCTTATCCTATGTTCTTCCTGTCTTTCCCATTTCGATTACGCCTTCCTTCCTATGCCTTCTTGATTTTGATCTTGAATGAATGCTGCCCTTTTTATCTCAAATATTTGGTTATTCTAAGGTGTGTATATTTTCCTAGCATTATTGTTTCCCTTATAGACCTGCCTACTGTTTGTCTGAAAATTGAGCCATACGGGTGAGTTAACTTCCAGACTTGAAAGGTGTCCTAAAGCTGTAGTGTTGGAAATTCCACCAGTCTCAGTCTAACAATAAAGGCTGGTCTCTTTTATGTTAGTATCACCACCGATAGTTGAGGT